AGTTAACTGTGTTTGCAAACGGAGAAGCGCTGTTGTTTGCCATGAAGCCTGCCCCTTTCTTTTCCCATTTCCATACCTTACAGCTTTCACTTTTCAGCTTAATTTCACCTTAATCCAAAGTGATAAAATGCTTAATAGTTTTGAAGAAGAACGAACACAGGCATGTAATCCTTTTCTGTTGAAGGCATTTGACGTTACTGCCAGTAATACATTGGCAGTAATTGTTTTCCAAGAGCTCTTTGGTGGCTGAGCCTTCTTGCTCCCAGTGTTGCACAAGACATTTTACCAGTTGGACTCTACTACACCTGATGTGGCCATTTTAGAGCCATGTCACATATAGAATACATTTCCTCTATTAACCCTCAAAAATACTTCCAGACAAAACCAAATCAGTTATAGGAAGCATGGAAAATTATCAAAGAATAGGCAGGAACCTCTATCTAAACCCTTTTTCTTCTTCTCCTTTATATTCCAGCTATATCTTCTCTTTGCATTTGCTGCAGATGCTGCACCAGGACCCTTTGCATGAATGGAAACCAGTCACATGAATGAGGATTTGCAGGGTAAAAACAAAGTCCTTCTATGAATAGAAATGTTAATGAGGTACCATTAGTTACCAATTTGAGCTAAGAAGCTACAAAAGCCATTTGTTAACACTTGAACCCATTAAAACTCTCATCTTTTCAGCATTCATACTTACATCCTTCCAAAATGGACCTAAATTAGGGTTAGTAACAACCCTTTCTAGAAATATATTTCAGAGGGCTGCACAGGGTAAAAGATTTTCCTTCTTTAATTTTAGTAAAAAAAGAGAACAGCGTTATCTTCGAAATCAAAACAATAACATTATGCAGAGTAATAAAAAAATAGCAGCACTAACTGAAATAAGCAAAATAAAATCTCCTCTTTAAAACAGCTGTAGGCACCCATGAGTAAATGTAGGATAAGCATTTAAATATTTTTTCTACATTTAAATTAAAAAAAAACAACAAAAAACACAAGTCCACCCAATAATTGTTCCCGCCGATCAAGGAATCACTTCGACATCACAAAGACAGTTGAGAATTCTAATTCAAGACCTTACCTTCACCTGCGTACGCCAGGATGGAGCGGGCACGCATCTGCTTCCCTTCTGTGGTTTTGCCGGAGCAGGTGTGGGAGCAGGAGGACCAGGCAGACCACATGCTGAGCACACAGTCCTTTGGGCACGGAGCTTCGCAGGCGACCGGGATTGGGTAGATCGCATCTCTGCACAGCTGTCTGTCAACTTCTTCTCCTGGGAAAGAAAAGGCCGGTAGCAGTCCATCATTCGTTAAATTAACTTAAGATGAGCAATCTCGTCCAGATGGGCACACAAACAAATTAGATTCTGTTCTATATAAACAAGGTAAATAGATTTTTTTATTAAAATTACTTGTCTCCTCTGCCTTGATTCTAGAAGAACATGCTTAAACCTAGTTTAATTTGATATTCTGCTGAAGTGGATGGCAGCCTGGGCAGTCTTTAGGATTTCATTTTGTTCATACATCTTTGATTCCACAGAAAATCCTAATGTGAATAACAGAGTATATAATGCTCCTACGGAAAACTGTGTATATGAAAGTGCACGTACAGTAATCACCTAGTCTTGAGCCACACTTGTGGGAGAAGGTGGAAAGCATCCTAACTTTCAGCTTAGCCAGTTTAATAATCCACAAGTCATCCTTCGAACTGCGGCTGAGCATCAAAGGATGAAGAAATATGTATTAAGCTGCAGTGAGAGTGTCTTGTTTGCTTGGAAAGATCTTCATCTGTTAGCAAACCAGTAACATTACTGTGTGATGTGGAAGTATAAAAAGATCTATGCATTTGTATTCTGTCACATCAACGTACACGTTTCATTATAATAAGAAGATGGAGGTTGATACAAATTGTTTAATAAAATACAAGCTAGTGTTTAAGTAGCATGGCTGCTTTTATTTTCAGTAAGGAAATCGTGGGAGCACTTTGTCCAAGTTCTCTCTGAACAGCACCTCATCACAAAGTAGTCAGTTTTGTGAGGTGCCATGGGATTCCCTGACCAAACCAGTTAATATCCATTAGGTGAGGAATGAACCAATGACCACATATCCCCAGGTCAGTAAGTCTCACTGGTGATGGCAAAAGCTTCAGGATAAATCCTCACTTTGGAGCACATGATGGAAAAAATAAACTGATGAGGGAGATATCTAGATTCACTTTTTTGGAATTATAGCCTTGGTATCATTGAAAGCAATTAAAGAGTTTGCAAGAAAAGCACCAGGAGCTGAGCTGTAGCCCAATACGTAATGCCAGTTACACGGAACTGGGCAAAAGTTGTATCTAAGAGCACAGTGGACTCTTGAGGCCCTGTTAATCATGTACAATCAAGGCATGGAAAGAGCCAGTTCATTTGTAAACATGACAATTTTTTGGTTCTAAAATCTTCTCAAGAGCATAACATTTTGAAGCATCTGAATGCCTTTAGTGCTATATGCTCCTGGCTGTACTAGGCCATAAAACCTTCTGTTGCACTATGATCCATCCATTGAAATGTTCTTGAAGCAAGTGTGATCTCAAGGGGACTGAATAGGAGTGTCTGCAGCATTGTTACTATCCATCGTGTCCACCCTTTTGTTCTAAGAGCTAATGTCAACTCAGTAGTCTCTCATGAAGATTTGCAGTAAGTGTAAGTCTTCGATACAACAAAATATTTGTTACAAATAACAAATAAGTACTCTATAATTTAACGATAGAGACAACAGCCAGTGTTATTAACTATCATCCAGATTCTGAAAAGCTAATTCAGTGAGAACTGGGAATGCTGTCAATGAAACCAAAGCTCTATAAACACTGGTTTCCCAGGTTTCAAATTAGGCTTTTATTGCTTAATTGAATAATAATAAAATGAATCAAACACTAAAGAGAAACTACACTTTTGCCATTCAAAGTTCACCGTCATAAAACCTCTCGAAAAAGAATCTCTGATAAACTGAGTTCCTGAAAACAGGTTCTTTAGTGCTAGTGACATACCACGAATTCTAGAACTATTAACAATCAAATTCTTTATAAAAGAGGAAAAGATGAGTGCCAGCCATTCAGTATTATATCCCTTTAACCAGTGTCAAATATTTTATTCATACAGAGTCTTTAGGCAGAACAGAACTGCAAACATCACTCTTCCCTGGCTCTGCGAACCAGGGGAAGTTCTGCAGCTTATGCTTTTAAAATAGCCTGAAGTAGCCACAGTCATCTGAATTATAAAGACCTCTGAGATCAAGTCAGTCTCAATAGCTGTTATTTTCCCATATTAAAAATACAAATTTGAGCCCTGACAAAGGCTTCATGAATCTCCCACATCAAGTTCCGCTTCCCTCCCTGGACTCAGCCTTTGCACCAATGGCTCCAACTCTTGTATCAAACCCTGTCTTGTCATCACACCCTGACAGCAGTGCCGGAGGGATTCGTACCTGCGCATGTTTGGGTTGAAGGACAAGACAGAGGAGCAGACTGCAAACTTGCAGAGAATAGAAAAAAAGCTAGAAAAGAGCTGAACATTACTCTCAAACTGTTCCATCACCAGGTGAGAGTCAATAAGGTAAACTGTCGGGACACTTTCACACGGCAAGAAATAGTACAATTACAATAAAGTACGTCACAGTGTAAACATACAGTACTATAATGAGCTTATTTATTACCTGCCAACTAAAGTGGTGTCAACTTGAAACTCAAGCTAAGTTTGGGATCACTATGAGAAATTGTGTTAAATAAGTTTCAATGTGAGATTATACTTTAAAAAAGCACCTTCATTCTCTCTTAAAATCAAAGCCATCTTTTATCCTTTGCTTTTACAGAGAAAATATTCTAGAAATATGTATCTTCCATATTAGCATTTAGTTTTTGACAAACTTCCCAATTCTTATCTGATGAATTCAACAGCATAGAAATGCAGTTGGAAGGAATGTTTTATAATGGGTACTTCTTATCTTCAGGGAAATATTTTATTTAGACTAAATTGTTTCTGATATTTCACTAATGATTTTGTGAAAAACTTGACCTTTGTTGCCTTCCTCAGCATAGTGTAAGTCATAGCATAGTCAACTACCAGGAGTCACTCAACTACAGGCTGGGAACAATGCCAATGCAAAGACTAAAACAGCACCAGCACAGATACGGGGTCGTCCTGCTGGAAAGCAGCCCTGTGGAGAAAGCCCTTTGAGTGTCAGTGGGCAGTGAGTGTCCCTGGGACAGCACTGTGCCCTTGTGGCCAAGAGGGCCAATGGGATCCTGGGGTGCATTAAGAAAAGTGAGATCTGTAATACCATGTCCAGTTTGGGGCTTCTCAGTTCAAGAGATGCAGGGATCTACTGGAGAGAGTCCAAGGGAGAGCTACAAGGGTGATCAAGGGACTTGAACATCTCTGCTGGGAAGACAGACTGAGAGACCTGGGGCTGTTCAGCCTGGAAAGGAGACGGCTGAGAGAGGACCTTTTTAATGTATAGAAACACCTGAGGGGTGGGGGTCAAGGGGAAGGGGACAATCTCTCTTCAGTGGTGCCCAGCAATAGAACAAGCAATAATGGGTTTAAGTTAGAACATGGGAAGTTCCACCTCAACATGAGGAGAAACTTCTTTCCTGTGGGGGTGACAGAGCCCTGGCCCAGGCTGCCCAGAGAAGGTGTGGAGTCTCCTGCTCTGGAGACTTTCAAACCTGCCTGGACGCGTTCCTGTGGGGCTGCCCTGGGTGACCCTGCTCTAGCAGGGGGTTGGACTAGATGATCTCTAGAGGTCCCTTCCAACCCCCAACATTCTTGATTCTATGATTAGCAAAAGGCCCATTTAAATAAGTTTGTCATATAGAGTCTTATACTTTATTTGAACTTTACAGGCGTACATCTGTGCTGCGCAAGAGTTGAAGACAGAACTCCAAAACCATGACTCAAAGGGCCCTGTCCTGAGTCACTGATACTCCAAGCTACAGAACAACACAAAGTAAAAAGCAGAAAGATGAAAACAGAACATGACATTTCTACCAAGAAAACTCTTCACCATTTATCAGCCTATTTGTTCATTAAAATCCAGAATTTAGCAATAGTCCATATTCAGAAACAATGCATATGTACCTGAACAATGTTTCTCTCTTATGCAACAGGTGCACAGTTTGGGCTAAACTCTCCAAATGGCACTAAAGGAAGTGACTGCATGTAGAAACGTCAGGAGGGCAAAAGAGGTTTTGTTTTTTGAGATAGTCCTTCGAATCCACATCTCTTCCTTCAACGGTTATGCTGGATCCAACTAGACAAGCAGCAAAGCAAGTCACTAAATTAAAACCTCCTTGTGGCCACCTTCTTGGTGTAAAGACCTTCTCGTATGCGTGCACACACCAGAGACACTATTGAATTAGTGAACTATTTAACCGCTTTTAAACAAACAGCAAAATCAAAAAAAAAAACCAAACAAAAAACTCCTCTACTAAATAGGCAGATTTTTTCCGGATTAGAGATGTAGCTTGTGAATAGTGTTCAGGAGGAACTGGCCAACTATTCATGTCAGACTGTATTCCTATCACCCTTCTTGCTTTATTACATTCACAAAGCAGATACGGTATTCATGAAAGTTTGGTCTAGATGCTAAAGGTTGGACTAGACTGCAGAAGACCTACATTCTGTGTTTTATGTAGTCGAATCATGCCACTCCTTCGTGTTTTTGTTCACTCGTCCGTAAAATGTGTCTGATATTTAAGTTTCTTGTAAAATGCTTTAAGATATTTCTAATGGGAAGCGTTCCAGGAGCTAGTATCACTAAAAAGACATGGTAAGAAAACCCTCTTGCTTATTGTTCATCTTTTAATACAGTTGCATGCTTCAGTGCACAGTAAAAACTTGCTGTCAAATTCTGACCTGTAGTAAATGGAAAGGCAAATGCTTAACAGAGGGCAAAGTTTTTTTAAAGTCTTAAAATGAACAGTGAAATGACTGCAAGATTCAGTGAGACATATAGAACAACTAAAAAGAAAAATACGCCACATATAAAATAAAAATGCTGCTGGAATCCTATACAATAAGGCAATGAACTTGGTCTCATTCCTGCATCTGGAAACCAGCTACACCCTCCGAAAGACTGAACTATAACCTGATAAAAATTAAGTGAAATATTGACAATAAAATACAAGAAATGGGATCAAATTAACAGAGCACTCTAAATATTATTTTTAAATGCCTGTGTAATTGGCAAAGGGCAGAAATAGCACACAGCAGTAAAATTTTGCACTCAGTTATAT